AAATACATCATGCCACATAAGCTCATCCTTAATTACTTTATTTTTTACAATAATAAAAATAAATTAGTTATAAACAAAAATAGTTAACATTTTTCCATCAAAGAGAAAATGTATACAATATGAAAAGATGTGATGCTGTACAGTTCTGGTTCAGGTGCACGGCCATGGATACATATTCCTGAACGAGTCAGAAAACAATTTATCTATTTTTCCCCTTAAATTCACTCAATGAAGTGGCTAATCAGAAAGTTTAGMGAGTTGTATTATGGATTTACAGCATGACATATATACATAAATATATATGTAATACCTGTGCTATAAAATTCAATTAAAAGCTAGATTAGTATGATGATAGAGCTGGACAAAATGTGAATGGTATATGTAAATAAATACATATTAGGTCCCTTTTAATAGAAAATTCTGCCTATTCTAAATATTTGAAATATTTTGGTGCAGTGGCTTGTTCCATAGAGACAGCTCAGAATACATATTTCCCATAGACATCTTGTATTTACAAATAACAACAAAATAAGTTATAATAAAGTATATCCTTCTGCCAAAATCAATTACTAGGTTAGGGTCAAGGAGAAATCATTTTACACATATAAAGAAGTTAGGGCTTTTTCTGTCACTCATAGTGCCAGGTTTACTAGGCCACACAGTTAGGGCTCCAGTCCTGGATCCATGGTGTGGAGCTGGAGCCTGTGCCACTTCCCTGGGGCTTCAAAAGCTCTTTTGTACCCACCCCCCACGAAGGCCACTGCAGGACGAGGTCTCAAGAGACCAAATGTAGCATGGAGAAAACAGCAAGCAGCACTGACAGCCTGTCACCAGGAGGTTACTGATTTCTCAGAGGAAATATTTAAGCCTCCCCACAGCAACAGTTTCTCTCTTCTAATACATTAAAATATATTGGAATATAAAAGATTTGTAACACATTCTTAACAACTTGTGGTTGCTGAAAGCTGAGAAGCAAAAGAGCCAAGTTCAGGCCTGGTGTAAGCTCTATAAATGAAATTGTGTCTTCCACCAAGTCACAATTTYACCCACACTATTTCTATTAAGATCTAATAATGCAATAGTTTTCTTTAAAATATACAGAAAAATATATTGGTGGATGATTTTTCATTTCTGATACTGAAAGAATTATTTTACTCCATTTTCRTAACAGAAGCTAATGTAGCCCCCACAAACATATTCTGTAAGCTGTGTTAGGAGTATAGGAAGCTTACTTGAATGTTCAGAATTTCATGTTTTGTGTTACAGACAGACATGCAAATAACACAGAAAGGCTCCTTGAGAGACAGAGAGAATAGAGAAGGCATCAAGTGTATCTACTGAAGCAGGTGGATACATGAATTTTCCTATTTGAGTGTAAACAGGATAATGCTTGCATTTTTGATACAGTAGTGGTTAGCTGTGAGAATAAAGGGCCAATATATACCTTAACAGCTGTGCAATCACAGGTTCATTGCACAGGAATTAATACAGTAGTTATTTTATTGTTACGCATTTGAAGTTAGCCAGCACATAAACAAATCATTGTTTGGGCAGAAATACAGCTCTGTTAATAGCGAGGCTCATTTCTGATGCAGATTCTTAAAACACTCACTGCCAGTTCAGAGCGTTTTTCAGCAATGTTCACAAAATGGATTATCATCCAAAGCACTAAGGGACGCAGCCTGTTGGCCCTCCATATCCAACAGGGGGGCATGGGGAAGATAAGAGCACCTAGCAATGTGAAAGAGTGGGATAGAGATGAATAGGAGGAAAAGCCCTGGAGAGCCCCTTTTTGTACCTATAGAGATCTAGATTACAGAGGGTAGAGTCTAGATATTCTTTCAGAGAGGCATAACCTCACTTTCTGTTATCCATGAGGTGCTTCCAAAACCTACCTCCTTCCCAAACTCAGTGCAGACTGCAGATTTCTAGGTTTGCAACGTAGGCAAAGATAAATTGCAAGCTTTGCTGCCCACTTGGTCCTGTTCTATGTACTCACCTGAACCAGGGCTATACTGACCACTTCTGTCAAGTAAAAGTAAGCTAAAATTAATACATTAATACACAATCAATTTAACATGCTCTGCAAGACAATTTGCTTTTCTTTATAAAAAGGACCAAACTCAGACTACGTGTTGTCATAAAGACAGGATTTAACAAATTACACTAATGTTACACACCAGTTTATTTGTGTAGTAGTCAGCTCTCCATTTGCTGGAGTGCTCCAAGTACTAGGAGGGGGGAGAAAGAGAAGAAGAATAGATCCAGCAGAATGGATTGTGCATTATGCAGGTAGTGAGGAAGACACTGTGCACGTATACTGAGGTAGTCTTGCATTAAGTCAGTAAGCTCACACTACCGCTGGACTTCAAGACCAGCAGACTCACAAAAACATCTCCTGCGCTGCTCTCTCTGTCTCTCTGCTCYTGCCAATGAGTTCTTCCCTAGCATTGAAGGTCAAAAAATGGACCTCTGACACACGTCTCAAGCTTCCACACTATCTTTTTAATTTCCCAGCTCGTGGAAGGAATGAAGAACCTCATGAATTCAGTGCTACCAGCAAATGCCCTCAGAATTTGGCATACAAGGGAGGGTGCTAATAGCTACACCCAGCCAGTTCTATCTCTGTTAGCTTGGCTCCAGTGGAGCTGGCATTGTGCAGGAGCTAGCTATGCCAGCCCCTTAATAACATAAACACCTGCACTGCTGTCCTTAATTCTAGGAGGAAAGTGCCTGAAACACAGAGCTGGCTCTAGATCTAGCTGACTTGGGCCAATACAGCTTTATCACTCATTCTGGAGGGCACAAAAACTGCATGCTGTTTTTTTCCCCTGTAAGCAATTAGACTTAGAGCACTTCAAATCAAACATATGGAATAACAGATATACACTTACTCTGGTCTTACTAGATCATATAAATACAAACTTTTTAAAGGCAAGAACAGCTTTTCTTTTCCTCCTAAGGAGTTCTGATTGGTGTTAAAATACCAGAAAATGAAGGTAACATTCAAATTCAGAATCAGTTCAGGCTTATAGTGGTTTCATACCTGACCTACCTCGACTCTGTTCACTGATGCCACCTTTTATTTGCAATCAGATCATGAAAGTAAAATCAGGCCCTCTGAGGGCACTGTGCTAACATGGGTGCACTGCTCTATTAACACAAACACTTGCTATAGTCACAATTTGAAAACTGCACTTTGTGTGACAATAAAAGACTAGCACAGCACTTACTCTGTATAGGTGATTTTCTTACACTGAAGTGCTGAAAGAAGGTTGATTAGTTCATATTGCAGGAGCAACTATTTCAGTTATGCTGAGACATGAGAAGAGACGATAAATATCTAAGTTCGGTAAAATTCTGGCCACTTCCTTATTCCTAACTGTTTAAATAGGTGAAGCCAATCTGTTTAACGGATACATTTGAAAACTATCCATATTCTTTTGAAACCTTTTACTAGAAGAAAAAAAGGAACAATCTGTATGTCTATGTTCAATATACAAAGCCATATACCTTAAAGGTAATGCAGGGTTACGTTGCTATACGTACACATATATTTGATATTTAGCTTCCATGAGCTCTGTTTACTTCAGTGGTAGCTTAATGGAGCCTAAAGAGAGTAATCCTGATGAAATATCCTAATGGCCATTTATTCTAGAACAAAATAACTAATTTTAGAAAAGACAAGGGTCGCCTGTGTATTTGCTGACTATCTCCCTGTGAAAAGTGTGTGTGAGCAGATTATTCTCTAAGAATTGTTTGCAAACCTGATTATTTCTCTGCATTTCATTCTCCATGTAGGTTTCAGCAAGTCTTTTTATGGAACAGATATTTCCCTCAAGCTGATGGATACATTTCCTTGAGACAAAAAAGACAACAGCAAAAATTATATACTGTATGTCAAGGTTTGCTACAAAGCGACACGCACATGAAAACCTGTATTTATAAATACTGCATTCAACACTTTTTTATGTTGCACTTTCTCCATATTACACTTTGGTCAAGAATCTATTGTATACAACATAATAACAAACATCTTTTCATGATACAACGGAATAGGACTGGGAAAGCTTCATGAACGCAAAKGAGGGGTTTTCCAAGTAGCATTTCTACCAGCAACACCTTTGTTTATGTCTATTAATTACAGTGATAAAGCCCAAATCAAGGTGTACAGAAACAGTCAATGACATATGATTTTAATCACAAACAGTAACCTCAAATTTCAGAGGAAATACTTGTTTCACTCAGCCAAACATTAATAGTTCATCATGGCCAAACTATATTTTACACAAATGACAGAATTTAAAAAATTCCTAAAGTTTGTCTCAAGCCAAGGCACTTGTTGGAGCAGAACAAGAGTTCTTGCTGTGCTTCAGCTTTCAGTACACAAGGTGATGTGACTAGTATTACAACTAGCAAACCTTGCTGCCCCTGTCCTATTCCTCTTCCACCTCTCCTCCACTCAGACAATGAAAAGGAAACACAGACAGATGCACAGCTTGATCGCTTGGGATGGGCTTTGGTACAAATCCCAAATGAGGCTCAAACATGTGTCTGATTCAGCAGCAGGAAACCTTAATCATGTCACTATCACCCCACTGGGAGTGGCTTAATATGCCTATCAAAACTGGTTTTGAATCAAGACAGCAGGGCATCTTGGAAATAGATGCATAGTTTTTTAATTTAATTTAAAAGTAATATGCTGTAATAAACAATTGAACAAGCAGAGGTATTTATTTCTTCCTCAGCCTTATTCACACATTCAAAAGTCCTCATATAAAGGCTAGAGAATGTGCAAATAATACAACTTTAATCTGCATTGTATAGCTCAATCCACAGTATACAGCACTTTCTGCTTACTGTTAGCAAAACACAAGGCTGAGAATAGTAACTGCAGAAATGAAAAATCACCACCCAAATTCTGTCTCAGCCATTCTTGGGTTGTATGAAAGAGGAGGTATGCATAAATATGCTGGATGAAACACTGATTAAAGAGAAGGATGCTGTAACAATTGCAACAAAATCTGTAAAATAGTTAAGATCTCCTAATTACAGATGCTCAGCAAGCACCGTCATACTTACTGCATCCTGATACTAGAGTAGATACTAGTAGTAGAGTAACAGACCATTAACACACACAGAGATCTACAGCTTTTGTCTGGTTTTGAAACTACTCGGTGATGTATCCAGAGTAGATGATCTCAGATGGTGGTTCTCAAGCAACTGTGCAGAGATAAGCTGTTAGGCCAGATACCAGTTCACTGAAATAACTATCTTGCAGGACAGAGATTTTGCTGATAGTAACGATCACCTTTTTTCTTTAATACTAGCAAAGATTCCTCACCTTTAAATCTCAAACTCACCGTCAGTAGCAGTTGCTAAAGTCTTAAAAGTCTGGACACTAGCGGCACTCTGGTGGATAATATATTGCTTTTAAAATCCATACAAAATTAGAAAAGTGTAACTTCTAAACTTTATGAATTAAACATGAAGGCACTTCTTGGCAGTCAGCTGTGCATATAGTTGTTGCTAGAGGACASGAATTAGTTAAAAGTACAACTGAGAGACCTTAACAATAATTTATTATGCATGGACTGAAGTAATTAAAACATACATTAGGGTGCTACGAAACTGATCATGAATGGTTCTTCATGAGACTGGCTTTTTGTGAAGTAATTCTTCTGATGTGCATGTTTCATTGATTTGTTCTAATTTACGTCAGTCCAAAATACCAAGCAAGAGTAAACACTCAGGAAATAATGCAGCAGCTGCATCCACACTGATCAAATATCTTCAATAATTGCCTACGACTGATTTCTTTTCATTAACTCCTCAATATTAAGGTTGGTTGGTAGGTTCTTTAAATGATTATCTGATGAACAGGTGCAAAGAATAGTATCATTAAAAATACTTCTTTAAAAAGATCATGGTTTCACAGCAAACATTTAAAAACATATGTAACTGCATATTAGGTGTAACTGAAAGGGTGTGAGATTTAACCAGTCTTGATGTGCTCAGCAATATAAAAACCATCTTCTTATGAAGGAAGAACCTGCTGTGATCAAAACAGTAACACTGTTCAAGCTCCATCTGAAGGCAGATATTGCTGCTTTGGGTAGGAGAGTATTTGTTATCTGCGTCCTAGAAATCCCGACTGTCGATTTGCCACACGTGTACAGGATGCACAACAGGCTGTTTTGTAGTAGGTGTAAACACACAGCCGAGCCTGAACAACCACATTGCAGTTGTAGTATTTGTCTTTACAGTTCTCATCTGTGGAAAGAAAAAAAAAAGGAGAAGAAGCTGAAAAATACAACTTTAGAGCAACAAGTAACCAAAATCTTAACAACAACAACAATATAAAAACAAATTTTTATTAATACTTGTCTCTTCCTTTCCCTAGTTATTCTTATGCTATTAAAATCAAGTCTGCATGAGAAAAACGACAAATTTTCATGCTTAATTACAATGCTCGGTACGTGAATGTTTTCCAAAAAAATGTTGAGGCCATATTGGAATTTCAAAAATCAAGAAAAGTAATTTTTTGCTATTTATGTTTTTATATAGAATATATTATATATTTCAAGGCAAACATTTTAATCAGAAATTAAAACCTTTTTTTTTTTCCACACCTCAGAGCAGAGCTATATTTTGTGTAAAAACAAGCACCTGAACTTAAAAAACAAATTAAATTCCCAGAACTTCTACATGATTATTAAATATTTTCTCCACTAGATGGAGTTCCTTAGTTAAAAGAAGTTTCTCCTCATTCCTTACCTATTTCTGGGATACAATCTTGTGTGTTACATGGTTCTTTTTCTTCAGGTTTAAGCTGTGGATCACACTGAGTACTGGGTGTCATGTCATCTGACAGACATCGCACCTCTCGAACCCGGAATCCTCCTTCACAGGATTTGGAACACTGAAACACATAGTTCAGTCTTATGAAGATGGTATGAGATGTGCAAATAAAGAAAGACGTAACAGCAACCTTAAAGTCAGATCCAAATATCACCATAGGCTTTTATCATCTTTAATGCTTTTTTTTGTTGCTTGTTCTCTAACTATAAAGTCCTTAACATTCAGGTGTAATTTGCATTAAAGGCTCAGAAACATTCTTGTACCTCTCAGATCTTATTTGTATCTCTCAAGCTCTCAGACTGACCCTTTCCACGTTGTTTACTTTTCTTCTGCACTGAGCTTATTTCAGTACTTGAAGGCACTGGCCTCTGCTACTCTTTCAACTCCATCTACATGCAATCAGGAAAAATTTAAACTGCATTTTCTCTAATGCTCAATTCCTTTTCACTTCTTGCAGCACAGTAGTTTTGCTAAGCATTACAAGCTTCTCTGCATTTCTGAAGAAAATATTTCTGTGTTCCTCCAAAATCTGCTCTGATGCTAGAGACTTCTGTACTTGCTAGATGTGGTATTTCCAAAGCCGATTACTGAACATCTTTGCCCATATTGAATCAGATCCTTTCTTGCCTTCAGGAATTTTTGTCTGCATGAGGTCTTTCAGATTTGGCTCACTTTATCCAGTTCGACCTTGCAAATTTTCTTAAACTCGGGTCATTTATAATGATTAAGGTTTTAATAGTCCAAAACCAGTCAGATAGAGATTCACATTTAAAAATGTTTTGGCTAATGGAAATGTATTTAATCTAATGCCTCAGTAAAGAAGGCAGAGAATTTTCAGCAACAACAAAGGAGATAAACAAATCTACCTGGCTTTATCATGAGCCTAATTTGGATCTTTGTTTTCAAATAAATATCTATATCTGTGATTAAGGGAGAAAAATCAGGATTCTCTTTGGCTGATTTACGGTAAAAAGTATTTTGTCTTTTTTTCTGCTTTGTGGTGCTGCCATGATGCCAGTGAAATAACAGAGCACGTTCTGAAAGTGGGAAAAACAAAGTAACTGCTATCTTTCCTGTCATGTGGATGAAGGATTTTCAAAGGTTCCTGACAAAGGGAACTCAAGCTGGGAGGATTTGAGGGGTTTCCACATTCAGAGCTGTCATTCTGAATTTGAGTTAAGGCTCAAGGAAAGGAGTAAGTTGCTGCAGTTAATAAAATGTCATCTAAATATGTTTTAACACCATTTTTCATTCTGAGAAGATACTGGACTTTCTGATTTTCAATTAGGATCTAAAAATGTTGGTAAGACAGGTAAAACCAAAGCCACTTGTGGGACTGGCGAATACAGCTAGTCTGCTTCCCGTAGAAACTGGAAATACACAGAGCTCTACTGTTGCTAAAGGTCTAAATGCCATGGTAAAGATAATATTGCCTTAAAAACTAAATACATCCATCATTTTTTATTAAATGCTCCTTAATTTATTGAAATCAGAAAAGAATCTTTTAATGCACTACATACCATCATTACGGAACAAATCAAGTTCGTAAAACAGGAAGGCCCATCGAAGAAACCAGTGATGAAGAGACAGCTATGCTGTTTCCTTCTGTTCAAGACACCACCCAACTTTCCTAAGCTTCAGCAGGCACTGCAGAGCACGCTTTCTTTTCACTATCATTCTTGTGCAAAACTAAGTCTTATTTCATTATCCAAATAGTGGAGAAATAAGGAAAAAATAGAAAAAGATGTATCAAAATTAAATATAGAAAAGTCTGATGGACTTACCGTGCTCCATTCTGTATGAAACCACTTTGCACCACAGGGTTTGAGGTGGCAGGATTGCTGACTGGGAGGTCTTTCCAAATATGAACATTCATGAGGGTTCAACACATCAAAATTACCTTCCGTTTTCCTAATACAAATGACTTCTCTCTGCTGAGTCCCACTGCCGCATTCAGTAGAACACTGCATCAGAGAACAAAAAGAGGAGGATCAGTCTACATATGTCTTGTTTCCAAAGTAATGTGCTTCTCCACAAGTTATCTGTCTCTGAAATAAAACATATACACATTCATATATTTGCAGTTTAAATAGTATTTATTTAATACTTTATGTGGTATGTATTTATTAAATAAAATGTATTTATTTAATAATTTATGTGGAAAAGAACTTCCACAGCTTGTTTATACTTGCAATTCTTGGACACAAGTCTAGCCTCCAACACTCAGAAGCCAGTTCTTTTTTTTCTAGGTTCTTTCCTCAGTCAACTGAATGTAACTATATCTTTCCTTCTGCCTCTGCAAACAGGCAGCTTAATCTCCTGCTTATACTGATTGCCAGCATATTTCATGCAGGACAGGCCTCAGTTCACCAACTCACTGAAGCACCAGCTTTCCTTCAAGCCTCTGAATATTCTCACTAAAGTCAACATTGAAGTGTTTTGCTGCATGAGGACTGTTAACAGTGTTTGCAGGAGGTTTTAGCTGTGCAAGAACTGACCTGGTCAAGCCGTACAAGTCCTGTCTTGCTCAGCATGTTTAACTCAGTAACAACTCACAAAAGATTTACATAATGGGCAACTCATGACAATCTTCAAGTAAACTAGACTGACTTATAACAATAACCCCTCCACCAGACCTTAGAGTTGCCATGATGTAGCGTTCTGCACTTCTGCTCTTAACAGAAACATTAAGTAGTACTTTTGTCCTATCAGAATCCTACAAATAAACCTCTTTATACATTTAAAATATTCTAGAGACATTTCAATGCCATTATTTCAACTAATCATAAGTGGAAAAAGGAAACAAAAGACTTTCAAAGTGTCTCTTTAAAATAACTCGTATGATATGGAATCAGATTCAATAAACACACCTATTTTTCTTATATGCAATAGTAAAAATCCAACATTACATACTAAGAGTGGCAGAAATGCCGCCATAAATATGCAACCTAGAGTCCCTCTGACTTTTAGCGAGCCTTAATGTTGACTCACCATCAAATTTTGCAATGCTTTAGCACAGGTATAGCTATTTAGCATTTGTACTCTGAAAATATGTTCCTAGTTAGTGATCCCATCTAACTAGATACTAATTGAAAAGAACTAGTCAAGTAGTGATGAAACGTTAATACATATCGAATCTTGGGAGAAATTAATAATAATAATAAAAATTAAATGGCCCCAAGTTGAGATAAAAATTGCATGCATCTGAATGGAACATTCTGGAAGCATTTTATGCTGTCTGCAGAAAGGTGAGACAGCTCTGTTTAAAATCAAATTTGAATTCAGAGTACAAAGTCTGAGCAAATGTTACAAAACCTATTTTCAGAAAAGATATTCTAACTAAAACCATGGTAATACTATTTGCAAACTTCTGCTAGCTCTAAATTTCATAGCTGTAGTTTAATCCTTT